GAGATATGTGATCAAGATGGTGGATCAGTGCTACTGGGAAACAACAAATCTTGCAAAAATGTAGGTATTGGATCTGTGAGATTCAAACTCCATGATGAGTCAATAAGGTTATTCATTGAAGTCAGGTATGTACCTAATTTGAAGAGAAATTTGATTTCTCTTGGTGAATTCGACAGAAAGGGATATGTTTTTCAAGGATAGAAAAGTATCATAAGAGTCGTGAAGGGGTCGAAGGAAGTCTTGAGAGGCATAAATAAACAAGGCTTTTATACTCTTGAGGCTGAAGTTGTAAGTGGTTTGACAAATGTTGCATCCACAAAATCATTGTCAAAAATAGAAATTTGGCACATGAGATTGGGACATGTCGGTGAAAGGGGCCTGGTCGAATTAGGGAAACAAAATCTGTTTGGAGGTGATAAAGTCAAAAAGCTAAAATTTTGTGAACCCTGTGTACTTGGAAAATCTTGCAGAGTGAAGTTCAACAAAGGAAAACAAAGAACTCATGGATCCCTTAATTACATCCATGATGATCTTTGGGGGCCTGCAAGGTGTCCATCACATTCAGGAGCAAGGTATTTTCTATCCATAGTTGATGATTATTCCAGGAAGTTATGGGTATTCATCCAGAAGACTAAGAATGAAAGTTTTGAGAATTTCAAATATTGGAAGAATCTGGTCAAAAATTCGATTGGAAGAAAGGTTAAGAGGTTGAGAACCGACAACTTGAATTTTGCAATGAGGCATTCAACAGTTTTTATGTTGCCTCATGTATTTCAAGACACAAAACTACTGCAGGGACTCTATAACAAAATGGTTTGGCAGAAAGGTTTAATAGAACTATTTTAGAAAGAGTTAGATGCATGTTAACTAGTGTTGGGTTAAAGAAGGTGTTTTGGGCTATGGTTGTTTCAACAACAACATATCTGATAAACAAATGTCCTTCGACTGCTTTTGATATGAAGACACCTGAATAAGTTTGGTCAGGACATCCACTTAGTCTCAACAAACTGAGAGTATTTGGCTGCATGGCATGTGCTCACATTAGGCAAGACAAGGTCGAACATAGAACCCTGAAATGCATGTTCATGGGATACTCTGAAGGAGTCAAAGCTTATAGGCTATGATGCCTAGAGCCAGGTCAAAAGAGGTGTATCACCAGTCGAGATATAGTTTTCAATGAAGTAGAGATGGATTTTAAGAAAATTGATGGTGCCGACGAAGAGCTGGAACAGGGAGAGATTCCTGTTGAGGTGGAGCATGTTGATGCTGAATTGCGTACCTCAAATGAAGTCAAAGAAGAAGTAGAAGTTGTTGTCGAAGATGAGGAGACTGATAATGACTATCTGCTAGTAAGAGACAGGTCGAGGAGAGTCATCAAGCCACCTCAGAGACTTGGGTATATAGATCTTATAGCTTATGCCTTAATCTCTGCAAGTGAGGTTCTCAACGAAGAACCTAGAGACTATAAGGAAGTTATGAAGAGTTAAAATAAGACTAAATGGCTGAAGGCCATAGATGATGATATGAAATCTCTTCATGATAACAACACCTGAGAACTGATTAAGAAACCTGTTGGAGCTAAGTTAGTCAACTGTAAATGAATTTTCAAAGTTAAGGAAGGAATCAAAGGAGTGGCGTCAAAAAGATACAAGGCAAGATTGGTCGATAGGGGTTTCACTAAAAAACAAGGTGTCGATTTTAATGATGTATTATCTCATATTGTGAAGCACAGGTCCATTCGAATATTGCTTGCCACGGTGGCACAATTTGACCTTGAACTGGAACATATGGATGTGAATAATGTGTTCTTGTATGGTGATCTAGATGAAACAATCCTGATGAGGTAACCTAAAAGGTATGTCGAAAAGGGGAAGGAAGATTATATATGCAAGCTGAAGAGATCCTTATATGGACTGAAACAATCTCCTCGATAGTGGAATAAGAGATTCAACAAGTTCATGGCACACATAAGTTTCGTTAGAAGTCAGTTCGACCACTGTGTTTACTTCAGATTTCGACCTGGTAATTCATTTGTTATTCTGTTGCTTTATGTGGATGATATTCTAATAGCAAGCAATAATATCGAAGATGTAATAAGGGTGAAGACTAAACTCAATAAGGAGTCCAACATGAAGGATCTGGGAGATGCGTCCAAGATTCGTGGGATTGACATCTGAAGAGATAGAAAGCATTTGAAATTATGTTTATCTCAAGAGTCATACCTACAGAAGATTCTCGAAAAGTTTGGTATGTCAAATTCAAAGCCTGTTGTGACTCCGACAAACCCTCAAGTCAAGCTGATTATAGATCAGTGTTCCAGTACCGATGTCGAAAGAGCTTATATGAATAACATTCCATATGCTAATATAGTGGGTTCTTTGATGTATGTTATAGTCTGTACTAGACCCGACATAACATATGCAATAAGTCTTGTAAGCAGGTACATGGTGAATCCTGGAAAGGCTCACTGGAAAGCATTGAAGTGGATTCTAAGGTACATAAATAGATCTCTGAACAGAGTCCTAATTTATGGTGGAGCCTTGGGTGAAGATAGTAAAGCAACAATTGAAGGATATGTCGACTCAGATTATGCAAGTTGTATGGATTCCAAAAAATATATTTTTGGATATGTATTTACTATGTTTGGCACAACAATTAGTTGGAAAGTAACACTTCAAAAGGTTGTTTCCTTATCAACCACTGAAGCGGAATATATCGCCCTAACTAAAGTTGTGAAGGAAGCATAGTGGCTTGAAGGTTTTACAAAGGAGCTGAAACTTAAAGGTCGAGTTATCACTGTTAAATGTGATAGTCAAAGTGCAATATACCTGTCAAAGAATTCAACATATCATGAGCGAACCAAGCACATTGATATGAGATTTCATTTCGTCAGAGGGGTAATCGAGCATGGAGAAATCCAAGGGCTGAAGGTTTCGGCAGATCATAATGCTGCTGATATGATCACCAAGACATTACCAGTTGCAAGTTTTTTCCACTATATGCAGTTGATAAATCTGCATGAAAAAAGCTAGTTTGGTTCTTGATGGTAGAGTTAGATCTAAGGTGGAGATTATGAGGTATTAAATCAAACTCTAGTTAGCTGCCGTCGAAGTTTGCTCATATGCTGTTGTCAAAGACCTACATGCTTTAGTCGAATTGTGTTTTCTAATATGTAGTTGTCGAATTGGGCCTTGTATTAATGATTCAATTGTTTAAGTTTGTTTGTACCTTAAGTTAGCTTGTAATGGGTAATTGTTAAAAAGTCCATTAATTTAGTATATTGGGTTTTATTATAAATAACATACTAGTCTCTCATCTTAAGTGTGGTGTAATAAAACCTAATTTGGGTGAGAGGGTTATTTGTTATTCTTGAGTACTTGTGATTTGTTTTATAGAGAAAGTAAAGAATATCAATTATAACTAATCATTGTTGTTCTCCTTGTTCTTCCTTAACCCTAACCATTGTGTGTTTCTTGATCATAAAGAAATCGAATATATTTTGTTTTAAGGCATCATAATTTACAACATATATATATATATATATATATATATATATATATATACACTCACACACACACACATAAGCAAGATGCTCGTGCGTCCGGACCGGTAAATTCATTTAATACGGTATAAAATATATTTAGACACACGTGTAAATTTGAAATGAAAAAAAGAATTAAAAAAAAAAAATTCACATTTGAAAATAAAGAATTCATCTTTCAATTAAAAGTAATTGTTGATTAAAATAAAATAGATATTATCTTGATAATGATCTGTGAAATTGAAAGTTAGTGGTGTGCACAATTATTAAGTGATGTTCAATTTGATTTAATATAAAATATTTTTAGATATACATGTCAATTTATAATGTATTACTTAATCGTAAAATAAACAGTGATCATATAAACTCAATTGTATTAAATAATCATATAAAAAAAGACACGTGAGATGGAGAAAGAAAAAATATTCTCATTTGAAAATAAAAAATTTGTTTATCAAATAAAGACAATTAATGATTAAAATAAAATAAATATTGAGCTTTTTTGTTCCAGCTTTAAAAAAATTGATTTTACAAAATTGATTTTTAAAATATTAGAAGTTTTTTATATTCGTTTTTTCTAAATCAAAAGATAGTCGAAAACACAATTTTTTCAAAAAGTTGTATTTCAAAAATGATTTTTATGAAAATCTATTTGAAATATCTTCAAAATTAAGTGACTTTTTAAAATTAACGGAACTTGATTTAAAGGACTTAAAACAAATATTTATTAAATAAGGGACGAAAGTGAAATTTGAAATTAAGTTAATGGACTAAAGAATGCTTACTAGCATCCAAACGAACACTCTTGTGTCTGTTTGTCCGCTTTTTTAATAAACACGTGAGTCAAAAATATAAACGAATTTTTTTTATTAAATTTAAATTATTTGTATAATAAACTTTGTGATATTCTCTCTCACACACACTCTCTCCCACTAAAATTGTATTTAGGTATATATATATAATATATAATATAATAAAGTCAGTGTAAAAAGTTTTACACTTTCAATATATTACAACCATCCCTTTGTATTATTTTTTAAGTGGTTAAAATTAAAGACAAACCTTTCAAATAAACGAGCGGTTGTAATTAAATTGATAGTGTAAACTGTTCATATATATATATATATATATATATATATAACATATTAAATCCAAAAGAAATCCAAGGTTTTGCTTGCAGCCGTTCAATATCAAAAGTAAGAAAATTAAAGTCAAGCACATAACTCATTCAATTTTAGTTCAATTTTAGACACATGATAACGCCATAACATTTCAGTTCAAAATGACTACGCTTAAAAAAAATTGATTCACGAGCACAAGAAGCGGGGAAATATTTCAATTCTTGGTAGGTAGATACTGTAGCTACTCAAGTCAATGAAGACTTGATTAACCACACGATTATCGTTTATCTATTGATTAGGGTTTCGTAACAGATTCATTTCAACGCTATTTCAAAACCATGGCGAAAGGGAAGTTACGTTCACAAGGGAAGAAATTATCGACGGTTACGCTGATTTTCTGGACTCTTTTCATGCTTACACTGGTCATTATCTTCCTCCTTGCGCTTGGAATTGTTTATCTTCCTAATACAAGCGATGATTCTTCAACTACAGATCTCAGTTCCTTCAGACGCAAAACCTCTGAAAGGTGATTTGATTTGATTTGATTAATTTCATTCTCTTCTGTTTGGTTTTGATTTGAATTGTGGTTAATCTTTCGTATTTCGAAATTGCGGCTTCGGAATTGGTTTCAGTTTGACGGAAAGGAAGGAGCAGTGGACTGAGATTCTTTCTTGGGAGCCGAGAGCTTTCATCTATCATAATTTTCTGGTCAGTTTTTGTCATCTTCTCATGGATCTATAATAATGTATCACAATAATGTTCATAGATTGTGATTTTAGTTTTTGAACCTTTTAGATCAGTTATGGAATAAATGTTTATATGGATGATTAAGCTCTTCAAGTATTGGATAGAGTAATTCAATTTATGATATATTAGTTTTAAACCTTTTAGATCAGTTGGCGAATAAATGTTTTTATGGATTATTAAGTTCTTCAAGTGTTGAATAGAGTATTACAACAATTATGATACATAGTTGCACATGTAATGTCAATAAGCATAGGCTAGGCTCATGGAAAACTAAATTATATGAAGATGTTTTTTAGGGTGGTCCATTATAAAAGATAATCTAGGTATTCATATATATATGGAATATTCAGATTGTGGTTAACTTGAATTTTCTGAATGACTCTTGAGTTTGAGTGAGACAGTTTAGTTTTCTTTTTTTTTTTAACCTCAGGGTTGGCCTAGTGGTGAAGGATTGAGTTCTGAGAGTGTGCTCCTCTCAAGGTCTCATGTTGGAATCCCGCTAGGTGCAAACAATTTATGTGTTGGACCCTGTCCATACGGAACTTTCCTCTAACTTTAAACGGTGGGATTGGTCCCCTTAGATTAGTCGGTCGCAACTCGCAAGGCTGGATACCAAGATTTCAAATAAAAAGACAACTTAGTTTTTTTATTTTAAATGAGTGAGATTTTAGTTTGCTTCTTTGAATTGTTGTGGTGGTAAACTGTTGGAATTTATATTGTTTTAAAATTTCCATTCTGCCTATCATTTTGAACAGTCAAAAGAAGAATGTGAGTACATGATCAATCTTGCCAAGCCTTTCATGGAAAAATCAAGTGTTGTTGATAGCAAGACTGGAAAGAGTACAGAAAGCAGGTTTGTCTTTGCTTGTGTTTTTTTGTACTGATTCCAATAATTGTAGATCATATTTTTGAGAATAGTGTCTAGTGGTAATGCATTACTCTAGATATATCCCCTGCTTGTAGGGTTCGAACTAGTTCAGGAATGTTTTTGAAGAGAGGAAAGGACAAAACTATCCAGAATATTGAAAAAAGAATTGCGGACTTTACCTTCATACCAGTAGGTACGAGATTTTGTGTGATACCTATGTCTACCTGCCTGTCTCTTTCCCTTCATTTCTTAGCCTTTTTGTTGCTTCACATGTACTGTATGGAAGTAGTGGGCAAAATGCTCCAAACTTGTTACATATAAAAACTTATTCAAGATCCTCTTAAGAACTTAGTGAGAACATTAGATAAGTTATTCTTTCTAATTAAGTGATAGTCTATCTTAATGTGCTAATGTGGGTAGTTGGTCCTCTCGTGAAACACTAAATTTAAGGTGATGTGGAATGCAACTTGATTTCACAAATGAGTGTCTTTTTCATAATTTTCCCAAATCTAAACTCTTGACATTGTTGCTTATGCCATGTAGCTCTAAAACATTGTATGCAGCGACATGATTGATTGCTTGATATTTGTTCTCATTCAATGTTGTTTAACTCTTAAATATGCAGAGAATGGAGAGGGACTTCAGGTTCTTCACTATGGAGTTGGGGAGAAATATGAGCCTCATTATGATTACTTCCTTGATGAGTTCAACACTAAGAATGGGGGCCAACGAGTTGCAACAGTTCTTATGTATCTGTAAACCCCTATTCTCTTACTATATACTGGTTTTGCAGTGTGCTTTGTGATGGAATTGTATACAAACTTGACTGGTCCCTGTTTTTGCTCCTTATGCAGGTCTGACGTTGAAGAAGGTGGTGAGACCGTATTTCCTGCTGCTAAGGCCAACTTTAGTTCTGTGCCATGGTGGAATGATTTATCTGAATGTGCTAGAAAGGGTCTATCAGTGAAAGCAAAAATGGGTGATGCTCTGCTGTTTTGGAGCATGAGGCCAGATGCCTCACTAGATGCATCTAGTTTACACGGTTAGAAACTAGTAAAAACTAGTAAAAACTGTAACTAGTTCAGCTGTAAATATTAATTAGTATAGCATATCAAGTTTAGACTTCAGAGTGACCCATTTTTTGATCGTCTCGAATCCAGTGTTATCGAATATCAGCCACGGCGGATATCAGTGGCGGTTTTTGGGCTCACCGCAATGATAAATACCGGCCGATATTGTGCCTTTTTCTGCCATAATCTGCTACGATGTGCCCCAAAGTGGCTGGTATGGCAGGATTTTGGCTCTCCGCCATGGACCGCCATCTGCCATTGACAACAATGCTTGAATCATGTGACATGTTTCTACAGTTAGGTTCTGACGTTCATCATATATACTGTTGATGTTTAATCGTATGCATCCATGCCTTATTTCCACCTCTCCCATAAAGTTTTATAGAGTATGATGGTCCTTATGTTGAAAATATTATAGCCATGTCATTCGAACTCATATTACAATCCATTGGATTTTATGATTGATGAGATTAATTCATTAATCTTTGCTTTCAGGCGGTTGCCCGGTAATTAAAGGAAATAAATGGTCTTCAACAAAGTGGATGCATCTTGAGGAGTACAAAGTTTAAGGCTTTTCCCGTGCAGGTACTTTTAGCGACTACGATGAGTTGATTGTTGTGCTAAAATATGGGTCAGAATTTTAATGATCATTTATAAAAAAAATTAAGTGAAAAGTTTGTGCCTAATATCTCAATTCTCAGTTATGTTTTGACTAGATATATAGGATTGAGCAGGAGGGTGGATATACTGGGGTTTATTGTATTCTGATGATTTTTTATTTAGAAACTGCTCTAAGGATAGAAGAAAAAGAACTTGGTAAGTTTGTTTTGAGAACATGTTTTTAAAGTGGAGAGGTGGCGGACAATCACATCAGCAGTAGATTATGTTGATGGTGCCATGTTTCAATGGCGGTGATGGTATCTGCATTGACCATTTAATTAGTCTTGTAGCCGAAGATGAATGTGTTGGGTGCTTCATAGAATCACATTTATATAAAATTAGTTATAGCATATATAAGCTTTGTACAAAAAATATGAGCTCAAACGCTTTCCATTTTATTTTCCCATGATCAAACCATTTTTGCATTTGTTTTGTAAGCATCCATCTCATTCATTCACACTCTGAACATTGTTCTGCATTTAATTTGCAGCTTTTTGCTACAGAAATAAATTCTGTAACTTTAAGGAGGGAAGTATATGGATTGATGACTTTGAATGTATAAACGAGAGATAATAGGTGAGAAAATGAGTAGTTAAGGATGAGATGGAAGAGTGGACGATAGAGAGAAAATAAGTGACTTTTCTCACCCAAAAGTTAGAAGGCTCTTCCCATAATAATAGAATACTGTGGATAATACGCAGAAAAGGGAAAAGAGATGTATGATATATGTAAATTATACTTGGTTTTATTTGTATACTTGTAGAGAAGAGTGGCAACGGAAGCAATCTCTCTTTACTTATTAGCAATTTTCACTTAATAAAATTGTATTAAATCAAACGAGAGTTTGTTAAATATTGTACGGTGCTGGAACTGGAATTGATCGGAGAATATAAATGTGGAGTTGGTTGCGGTGGTTTAGAACTTCTGATGCGATGGAGAGAGGGTTGACCTGTAAGGTTAACACTTCGACGTTCAAAGTTAGTTTGAGATTGAAAAATGATGTTTGAATGAAAAAAGATTTAATACCTGTGAAGTGACACTTTCCTCTTTAAATAAGAGAAGTAGTTGACAATTGAATGCATGTGGTGTGGTGTGAGATGCAGTTGACCGTCAAATTGATCTGGACGGTTGGGAGAGCACTCGTAAGAGATATTACCTACTTCTTCAGAGAAAAAAAGTCCTTTTGTTTTGTGCCAAATGTTGCCTTGAGTCTTTATTGCGATTTCATTTATTTAGAACTTGTGGACGACCCGAAATAGTTGTCCTGCAAGCCCATACTTCTGTTTTGTAGAACAGGGTTTGTAACATGCATCTTCAACCGACCACGAGATTTGTGAACCTGGAGGCCCTTCGACGAGACATTGTTGCTCTTGGGAATACACACATTTAAAGCCTCTTTCGTTAGGGGTAACATTTCGTTGGAAGTGATCGACACATCCTTTATGTTAGTCAATAATGACGCTTCTCTTTTTTTAGAGTACTCAAGTGTTTTTTGAACCGTTTTCGAGAAGATCTCAATCGTTTGCAGTGCTGAGCGATTGTATGATCCTAAATGCTCGAATAGGGTATAAAAACCTTTGAAGCGCCATTTTACCTTTTTGATTGTTATTGATTTGTAAAATAGGGTTTTTATGCTTCTTTATCATTCTATTCGAGGAGCGTTTTTGTTCAAGTGTAGGATTAAGTTTAGACGACTTTCTTTGTTGGCATTGGTCATGCATATGAAAAAATTATTCATAAGAGCTTGGATCACCCATCCCAAAAAAATAACAAATAAAGTCAAAAATGACTTCTAATCACAATGAAAAAGAAGTAGATGCTAAAAAATTGTAATGTTGTTCGGGTCCAAGCAAATTCTCATCCTTCAAGTGCAAAGAGACATATTCAACAACACAGAGATACTCTTTAAAAAATGAACAGAATCAAGCACAACATTTAGAGATATATAAAATATACTCCATGATGACAATTTGTCACACTATTTTTAGTATTCAATTTCGTTGTTTTTAAATACTTTTAATGTTAATGCATTTCTATTTTGTATTTTTTTTAATAAAGTTTTCGATGATTTGTGAAAAAGACCAAACCAAATTAAAATTATTCTAATTAGGTAAATTTCATAGTATTTTACTATGAATATTACTGTTATTACATGTGATTGACAATACTCTGTAGATAACATGTGAAGATGTTCTCTCGAGATGAGAGATATTCTGTCTCGAAGTGGTTTATAGTGCATTAGTGGAAAACATGTTAAGCCAAATATTTTGACATTATACGAGACATTATGTCTCGAGGTGCTTGCTTGGCACACAAGTTTTGATGGAGTGCATTTTGTGCTTTCGAGATTTGTTCTTTGTCGTTCAATCAAAGATATGGTTGTTAAAACACATAATGGTTTGGAAAAGATTTAAATTGAATACGTTTTAGTAAGATTAGAATTCATTTTGATGACAAATTTATATTTAATCAAGATTTATTTCAATCAAGATTTCCAATCAACATTATGAAGATTGATTTTGTATGTTTTTTAGATTCCAATCGTTTTCATGCCAGAAACTCAACTGAGCTTTTTAGCCAGACAATTGTTGATATTTAAGGAGGTGTTCAAAGTTAAGGATAAAGTATTTGAGCAGTTGTAGTGATTCATCGTTCATATATTTTTGTTATTGTACAAACGCTTGGGAGAGTGTTTGAGTGAAAGTGAGAGGAGTCTAAATTCATAGGTGTCTGGATCGAATTTCACGAGTGATATTAGGAAAAAAAACATTGAACTGAGAGAGTTCAGATAAGACCAATATGCACTTTTGACTATTAAAAATGAATTTTCTTTCATTGGGTTAATGCCCCAAACGTATGTGACTTTGCACCAAACTGGGTTAAAAGTTCTTGTGTTATTTATTTTATGCATTTATCTTTTCTTTTACGCAAACTTGTTGTCATACACATTTTGCAACATTGTGCTTACATTCTGTCATTAGTAGAACATAATTTCAATTAACATTAGAGAAAACACCTTGTTTAGGTTGGGTGAGATCCAAGATTTTCTCTACATTTTGTTTAAGATGGATAATGCTAAAGACGAAGGATTTGTAAATCGACCACCAATTCTTGATGATACGAACTATGATTATTGGAAGACGTGTATGATTGCCTTTCTGAAGTCTATGGACAACAAGACTTGGAAACAATCATAAATGGACGGACTCCTCCAAAGGTTATCACTGAAGACAACATTGAAACCTTGAAGCTCTAAGAAGGACTAGTCAAAGGAAGAAGATGAAAAATCAATTGGTAACTCCCGTGCCCTTAATGTCATTTATAATGGAGTTAATAAGAATATCTAAAAAACTATTAGCACTTGCATCAGCATAAAAGAGACTTGTGAAATTCTTGAAACTGCTCATGAAGGTACATTCAAAGTTTGTAAGTCAAGATTTCAACTACTCACAACAAAATTTTAAAATCTGAAGATGAAGGAGGACACAATCATTGGTGAATTCAATGTTTGTCTTTGTGACATTACTGACAACTCTTTTTCCCTTAGCGAAAAGATACTAAAAAAAAAGTTGGCTAGAAAAATTCTTAAATCTCTTCCAAAGATATTTGATATGAAAGTCACAATCATTGAAAAACCACAAGATGTAAGCAAATTAAAAGTTGATGAGTTGATTGGATCTCTTCTAACTTTTGAGATGGGGATCAATGACAAATCTGAGAAAAGAGTAAGAATGTGGCGTTCAAAACTGAGGTCTTCTTCTATTATCTTCTTGAGTTTCTCATCACCACTGTATAACTTCTTCAATTTATCCCAGACTTCTTTAGTTGTTTCTTCTTCTATTATCTTCTCAAAGATATTCTGATCCACGCATTGGTGAATCAAGAATATGGCTTTTCTGTCTTTCTTCAATTGTTCCTTATATGCAGCCTTCTGAACATCACTTGCTTTTGTCTCTAATGATGGTACTCCTTCATTCACGGTTTCACACACATCTTTAAATCTGAATATGACCTGCATCTTCGTAATCCACGTCTCATAGTTTTCTTCTTTGAATACTGGTAGATTCGCAAGAAATTATGTTGATGTTGTACTATTGTTTTCCATTATAAATTCTTTCTGAATCGCAATTGGACTCAATGATACCAATTTGTTGGAACATAAAAGAATTTAAGTTTTTGAAAAGGGAAAAGAAGTGAAAAGATTCTTGTGTAATTGATGGTGATAAAATTTTATTTATTGGTCGCACACTGTGCTTCTCACACTATGTGTTCTTCTCAAGTTACAAAGTTATGTACGAATTACATTCAGGAGTTACAAACATGGAGTATTTATACACAAAGCTAACTAACTAAATGTGCTCAAAGTATTCCTAGTCAAATTCCTTACTATTGAGCTTGTGACTTTCCATCATCAACACAACTTTGATTACACTTCTAAGCACAACTACTGGTCGAAAACACAATTTAATTTCTAGTCAAAACAACAAAAACTTAACATGAGATAAAGGAATGATGTAACAAATAATGTCAAAGACAACCTGCCTTAGAACTCTAAAGGTTTTAATCCTCAATGTAAAAGAAAAGATGGGAAAAACAAAACAAGGGCAAGGGAATTGAATGTCATGAATGTGAAAGTTTTGGACACATTCAAACAGAGTGTACCAACTTTCTTATAAAACAGAAGAAGTGATATACTACCATATTTTCTGATGATGAGTTAGATGTGGAGAGAGAAACTGAACTAACTAATAGTGTAATTTCTTTCACAACTCATATAAGGTCAAAATCAAATGTGCAAAATGATTGTGACACAAGTGATAATGAATTGTTGGTGTGCAAAAAAATTTAAATTTTAGTAGTTATGTAAAATACATTCGTTTTTTTTTTGTCAAAAACAAACATTCTAATT